GTCATTGTTGTTTGGCGGGTCCGGGCTGGGGATTCGAACCCGCCACCTTAGGTGTACGTGGCTGGCGCCTTAGCCGGTTGAGCTATAGGTGCCGAGCCAGCACTGGTCTATTCTTGCATGTCTCCTGTTGTATATGTGCAGAATACTCTCTCATGCATACACCTAAGAGTCAAATTGTTGGGTCACTGGAATACCATAATTGGATAAAACACATTATCAAAAACCTCAATATTAAAGAATTCTCACACTTGATTCCTGGCACAGACCAAAATAGTGTTAAATATGCCATTTAAAGGCTTAAAATAGAGAAACTCATTTTGATTTCTGGAGCGGGGAGGGTGTTGAGGGATAGTGGGCAACACCCCTTCTTCTGCTCTACTTTCTGATACTTATTCTTTTTAAATTTCTTGTAGTTAACAAAGAAATAGTAAATACAAGTGACACAGAGAGGAAAAAAACAAGAGACAGACCCAAACAGGAAGGTAGGAAGTAATCATGTTCATCAAAAGGAATTCCACTTAAGAGAAACAAGGGAATGGGTCAGGCACTGTGGGTGCCTGGAATCCTAGCACTGTAAGAGGCCTAGTAGGATTACTGGAGCTCCAGAGTTTGATACTAGCCTCAGCAAGAGCAAGACCTTATCACTACTAAAAATAGAAAAATTAGCCAGGCATAATGGCATGCGCCTGTAGTCTCAATACTGGGGAGGCTGAGGCAGGAGGATTGGTTGAAGCCAGATGTTTGAGGTTAGTATGAGTCAGGATGAGGCCACAGCACTCTAGCCTGTTGATATTAAATAGTTGAGAGTTAAGACTTGATCTAAAAAAAAAAAAAAAAAAAAAGAAAGAAAGAAAGAAAGAAAGAAAAAGGGAATGGATAAAACAGGGTTCCTTCCACAAACCCACAACGCCGAGTTTTCCTATTTATAAGAGTCACAATAGAAACCAGCGATGAACTTTTATTCCAATTGCCCGTGGCAGCGTCTGGATTGGCCATTGATACCAACTAGGACTCTGATTGACTCGGACAATAAATGGGTTCAGGCTTTTTTTCCTTTTGCTTTTCTCGGCAAATCCAAACTCCAAAACAGGACAAGAGAAACAGCATTACCTCCCAAAGAAAACGAAACTAAAGTAATGAAATGTTTCTGTGTGCCACGTGACTCATTCATTAGTAAAGTGCACACGAAAATGAAGGATAGAGTGCCCAATACATTACTAACAATATTTTAGCAGGTTGACGTTTTTGTTTTGGGATAAAGGACATTGAATCTTAACTTGGGTTTGTCTGCTAACCTTTTTCGTGACATAAATTCATGTAAAATTGTCTCCAGCGTTACTGCAGCGTGCAGTAGAATGCAATGCAAAGAAATTTCCTAACAAGCGCCCTAATAATGAAACCAGTTGTTCTTTTCAGCAAGAAATATCCCCTTTAAAGAAGCGAAGTGCTAGCTCTCTTTGGAAGACTGAGTGGCTCTGAAAAGAGCCTTTGGGGCGTGGGAGAAGACTGACCGATAGCTCAGCGGACCTGCACGTCACTTAGAGCTGGTGTACTTGGTAACGGCCTTGGTGCCTTCGGATACAGCATGCTTGGCTAGCTCTCCCGGCAGCAGCAGGCGCACGGCGGTCTGGATCTCCCGGGAGGTAATGGTCGAGCGCTTGTTGTAATGCGCCAGACGAGATGCCTCGCCTGCGATGCGCTCAAAAATGTCGTTGACAAACGAATTCATGATGCCCATGGCTTTAGAAGAGATGCCGGTGTCCGGGTGGACCTGCTTCAGCACTTTGTACACGTACACGGAGTAACTCTCCTTGCGGCTGCGCTTACGCTTCTTGCCGTCCTTCTTCTGGGCTTTGGTCACCGCCTTCTTGGAGCCCTTCTTAGGGGCAGGAGCGGATTTCGCGGGCTCAGGCATGATCAAGCGCTGAAAGGAGTGTAGTTCTCCAAATGCCCTCCTCACAGCTCTTGAAACGGAAAGAGCAGCGAGTCAAGTGTGTCTAATGTAGTGGCGAGTCCACTAAACGTCATATAATAACTGTCCAATCAAAATAAGTGTATTTCAAACGACAATTCTATTGGTTTAAGAGCAACTGTATTTTTAGCCAATGGCATAGCTTCGTTTTTGCGTCCAGCAATGACTATAAGTAGCGCGACTGCGGAAAAGTTACTTTAGGCTACACTCAGACCGACTTACCAGGTGTCATGTCTGGACGAGGCAAGCAGGGTGGCAAAGCTCGTGCCAAGGCTAAGACCCGCTCATCTCGGGCGGGGCTGCAGTTCCCAGTGGGCCGTGTGCACCGCCTGCTCCGCAAGGGAAACTACTCCGAACGGGTCGGGGCTGGTGCCCCGGTGTACCTAGCGGCGGTGCTGGAGTACCTGACTGCTGAGATACTGGAGCTGGCAGGCAACGCTGCACGCGACAACAAGAAGACGCGCATCATCCCGCGCCACTTGCAGCTGGCCATCCGCAACGACGAAGAACTGAATAAGCTTTTGGGTAAAGTCACCATCGCGCAGGGTGGCGTCTTGCCCAACATCCAGGCAGTGCTACTGCCTAAGAAGACTGAGAGTCATCATAAAGCCAAGGGCAAGTAGAGGCCTGAAGTAATTTGCTTTTCTTAATCGATTTTCTGTCTAAACCCAAAGGTTCTTTTCAGAACCACTTACTTTTTCTCTAAGAGGAGCTGTGTTCAACATTGTGCAATTGCTGAATCAGTTTCCAATTTTCCTAGTACAGTATCATCGTGCCACTCTAAAAGCAATGGCTTTGACTCGGCGCCTGTGGCTCAAGTGGCTAAGGCGCCAGCCACATACACCTAAGGTGGGGGGTTGGAATCTAGCCCGGGCCCGCCAAAACAACAACGACTGCTGCAACCAAAAAATAGGCGGGCGCCTGTGGTCCCAGCTACTTGGGAGGCTGAGGCAAGAGACTCGCTTGAGTCCAGGAGTTGGAGGTTGCTGTGAGCTGTGATGTCATAGCACTCTACCCAGGGAGACAGCCTGAGGCTCTGTTTTAAAAAAAAAAAATTTTTTTTACAAAGAGTTTGTTTTGTAACCTAGGTATAAAGGGCGAAGCGAAACCAAAGTGCCCTTGAAGTTAAATTGTTTTGGAATATGAAAGAGATTAAGAAGCTGATGAACACAAGCAAAATTTAGGGGTCTCTCATCCTTAAGGGTAAATTAAGGAACCTATGAGTGTTTAGACCTACCTTTTACACCAGTTCTAACGACCTTAACTGAGGATCTGTGGGGTGTCAGGCACTCTTCTAGATGGGAGTACAACATTAATACAGATAATGTCTACAGCAATTTGAAGTTAGACTGAATAAATAATTTCATAATGTATTGCCTATGTATAGCCTATGTAACTGATGGTCTGGGATTACATCTAGGAAGACCATCTAGGAAGAACATGTTACCTAAAAAATAAGGTGTAAGTTGTGAATCTTGTAAATCACATTCTTTACCTTCTGTCAGTCATAATGGTCCTGTTTGTGTCAATTTTAACTATTTGCTTTTTGCCATAATTTACTCCCTCAGATCTAGCCACTTTAGCTAGAGAAATGCTATTCTCCACGTAATGTGTAGGTATTTCTTGTTCGTTGCAATCAATTTATTGAGTCTTTAGGAACATTTGTAACTACTGTATTTAAATCTCAATTGCAATCACATGCAAATAATATGCCTTGGACTGAAACGACAATTAGGTGTGTGTCACTGGCCTCAATTAATTATTTGGAGTTATTTTGAGATATGGTCTCCCTTTTGTTCAGGATATAGTGCAGGTGCACTGCTAGGGTGAAAGAAAAGGAGGCCTAACTCCATTTTGTTGTAACTCACTCCGGAGAATCAGTGGGGAGGCAAAGCCGGCCTGACTACATTGTTTTGTTACATTTTATTGTTTTAAATAAAACTGGTTCTGGTTGCTTCCCTGCCCATTTTATGGTATTTTAAGTGGACCTGGTTAGAACTGTTAGAATTATTAGTATTGTGTATAAAGTCACTAACATGACAACAACTCTTGATTATGTTCAGGTGGTCTTCGTACAATCTGTATATGATACTAAAATGTTAAAAGAACAAGCTTGACTCCATTTTACTATTTACTCCCTTTTTCCTTCAAAACTAGTTCCTCTTGTCTGCCTTTCCACTGTGTAACTGTAAATTCATTTGCTTGTGATTGTGGCCCTAGTGATTGTAGCTTTTTATGATCAAGCTCTTTACAACCCTTACCTGTAAGTTCTCCTCCCTGAATTTCCCCCCAGGGTATTTGTACCTATTTTGAAAGGAAGAAAAATCACTAATGGCTCTTGTGATCATAGCATTGATAAAATGACTAACTGCCCTACCCTTCTGATTCCCTCTACCCCTTTAACTGCTGTTTTATCTTCTGTAGTAACACTTGCTTGCCCCCTGGAAAAAATTTGCCCTATAAAAACCAGAGCTACAGACAACTCGAGGCTGCTCTCCAAAACCTCATGTTGAGACACTGAGGCAGTCGCCGGCCAGCTCTTCAGTAAAAGAACTCCTCTTTATATTCTGTTTGTCTGTCTGTGGTCTTTGAGAGACTCCTGGGCATAACAGCACAATCTCAGCTCAGTGTTACCTGAACTTCTACACCGGAACAATCCTCCCACCTCAGACTTCCAAAGTGCTGGAATTATAAGTATGAGCCCTTGCCCCTGGCTTTGCCTCCATTGATCCTGTCAGTGACTTTCAAGGTTAAATCCTGTAAGGACCAAGAGAAACTTCCCCTTCACCCTTTGAAGATTCACTAAAAATCAACCGACAAGAGGCAGAGTAAGAGGAGAAAATGGCATACAATTTTTTTAATGTGCGCAGGGAGGAATCACAAAGTGATTAATCCAATTCCCCAAAGGGGCACAAGAGATGGGGAAGGCAGACAATTCTTTTAAGGGGCAGTAAATGATTAGTAGGGAGAATAAATGGATTACAGAGATAAATTAACTTGTTAATTATCTCTGAAATTGAATGAGCTGGAGAGGCAGGGGTCATCTTGTGGAAAAGTCCATCCAGATGTGCTAGCGTTTTTCAGTCTTCCTTTCCCACAAATAGATAATGAGGTAACTGGGCGGGGATAGAAGGCAATTGTGCTTTAACCACTTTTCAGTTTTTAAAGAGCCACCAGTCAGATGAGGACAGTCCAGACAGTCCTTTCCTGCCTTCGGGGTGCTAGGGGAAACTAGGTTAGAAGAATCCCACCCTCCCCGCGCTCCTTTCCAATTTTCAAAAGCATTCAGCTTGACCTAGTGCCATACAGAGGGGAATCATTTTCTGTACCAGAAGAGTTCTGTTATTACCCTAATCTCACTTTATAGATAAACAAAATTTAGACAGCATAAACTAGTAAACTGAAGTCTGGTCAGTAAGAAGATTCAATTGAAAACCAGGTTTCCCTATCGACAGAGTTTTAGCACTTTCTACAACAAATGAAGAAAAACAGGTTTCAAGAGGATAGTTGTATTAATAGAAGCTTTACAATTTTCATTCCTGTTAAAAGAATTTCAGAGCATAACCCTGTATTTGTTTTTAAAAAGACAAAAACTATATGCAAAAATTATTCCATATTAAATATTGTTGAGAACTAAATCTTTAGGTGGATCATTTTTTAAAAAGCTTTTTTTTTTTTTTTGGCAGGGGCCGGGCTTGAACCCACCACCCCCTGTATGTGGGGCTGGCGCCCTACTCCTTGAACCACAGGCAACCCCAAAACACTTTTTAGAAAATTTTTGTTTATATAGTGGTTAGGGTAAAAAAACCTAAAAACACTGTTTCTGGTCATAAGAAGTTGTTCTTTTAAGGATTTTAATTCTACTCCAATTTATAACTTTGATGCAATTATGCTCAAAATCTCAGAGATTCATTCAAACTTCACAAAATCATTCAAAAGTTGTTCAGAAAAGAAATCCAGGTGAAACTAGATTAAGAAATTTGGAAAAGAAAATAGGAGATCTGCCATTTAAAATGTAAGGCTTTTAATAAAAACAAAAATTCAAAATTTTAATATAATTAAAAAAATAGAAATTTCAGTATTGGTCCCAAGTATAATTAAGAAGCACATTTATGTTAACTGTGGAAAAGAAGTTTATCATTTCAAAAATGTGGCTGATTAACAAATTATTAGAAAATTGATTGGTTCGGTGCCTGTGGCTCAAGCGGCTAAGGCGCCAGCCACATACACCTGAGTTGGCAGGTTCGAATCCAGCTGGGGCCACCAAACAATAATGAGGGCTGCAACCAAAAAATAGCCAGGTGTTGAGGCGAGCGCCTGTAGTCCCAATTACTTGGGAGGCGGAGGCAAGAGACTCGCTTGAGTCCAGGAGTTGAAGGTTGCTATGAGCTGTGATGTTACAGCACTCTCCCCAGGGCGACAGCTTGAGGCTGTCTCAAAAAAAAAAAAAAAAAAAAAAGAGAGAGAGAGAAAATTGATTAACATTGTATTGAGAAATCATAGGAAAGATAAACAGACGTTAAAAATCATTTTTCTCTTTAAATAAGAGAAATTGGTTAAAATATAATCAATGTAAAGAGATTACAAATGAAAAATACGTGCATTTATCTGCTCCCCCAAATATTATTAGCTAGCAGTAATCTAGTGATGAGATAATGTTATTTTATCGCTTGTCATTTTTGTGTATTTCCCACAATATCTTTTAGCATTCAAAAAGTAATTTTTTAAGCCCTTATAACAGTAACAAAACAGCGCGGTAAAACAAGGAAAAACAAGCCTTTCTTGTGGTGGTGGTGGTGCGTTAGATTTTTCCCTCCCCCAGCGGGGCGGAACTTCCCGCCTCCTTTCGGGTTCTCAATTCGGTCCGCCAACGCGTGTATAAAGGGCCGCTTCACAGCACAGCTTTCATAAAGCTTGTGAGAGGCGTGACTTCGGCTTTTATAATCATGTCTGGACGTGGCAAGGGCGGGAAGGGCCTTGGTAAAGGTGGAGCTAAGCGGCACCGTAAGGTACTGCGGGACAACATCCAGGGCATCACCAAGCCCGCGATCCGGCGTCTGGCCCGCCGCGGCGGTGTTAAGCGTATTTCCGGCCTCATCTATGAAGAGACTCGTGGGGTGCTTAAAGTTTTTCTGGAGAACGTAATCCGGGACGCTGTTACTTACACCGAGCACGCCAAGCGCAAGACAGTCACGGCCATGGATGTGGTGTACGCGCTCAAGCGCCAGGGCCGCACTCTGTACGGTTTTGGTGGTTAAGTAAGCTCTTCGTTTCTGTTTTCTAACCAAAAGGCCCTTTTCAGGGCCCCCCATCTTCTCTCTTAAGGAGCCATTACACTTAACTATCTGCTCGTGTTTTTCTGGTTTTACTTGTTCCGCGTCTGCGCAATTCAAGCCTCCATTGGCATGTGGGTCTGCCGCGACAAGCTAGGTAAAGATTGATTGGCTAATTATGATCCAGCAAAACGTTACTATTAAAGTACTGTAAGTCCTTAGCACTGTCCACAGTAAAGCAGTTGTGTCCTGGACCACAATTAAGGTGTGCGCTAGAGTTAAAACAGCATACAACCTTTCTGTGAAGACTGGTTAGCCTGTGTATGCTATAGAAAGCGATGGGCGGTACCCTTCGTCGCTTAGGCAGTTAATGAAACATGGAGTATTCAGTATACCAGAGACTTTAAAATTTGGGTGCCTGTTGATGACACGGAGGCCTGGTGGTTTGCTATATTAATTGGTGAGTTTTGGTTGAGATGTCCTTAGCTCCTTGTTCTGGTTCTAATTAGCACACATCTGGAAGGTTTATAGAGCACTTAGAGAACAACTGCAAGTAATTCCCACGAAACAGAATGGGTGAGGATAGGATGTACTGAAAAGCTTTTTAACTGTAAGGGAAAAGTAGTCGCATTGCTGAAGGGTTCTACAGGATAAAATATTTACAAGGTAACCCTTCAACCAAGAAAGACTATTAAAAAGTGACCCTTGGTACACAGAGGAAGAGGAATTAAGCGAGAGTAGGATATTAACCCAGTTCTAAACTGGAAGGCCTTCCTTAGGAGGCCTCAGAAATTAGAGAAAAAAAAAATCACAAAGCCAAAGTTGAAAACGTGACTGTTGGGGGAAAACAAGCTACAGCAGATTTACGAACTGAAGTGTCAACTGCTGAAATATATATCATACGGAGAGAAAACAAGATTTATATATTTTAAAACTTGATACTTGTGTATGTTTAAACACATGCAAAATATTAAGGAAGATTATGATTAGAGGCAATACTTTACTTGGGAAAAAATTAGAAAATTGTTTTTTAAATTTTCACTTGGCTATCTCTTTTTTTTTTTTTTTT